AGGACTCACCTTCTGCCCTGGTTTTCCAGACAAACCCACATTTCCCTGCAGGAATACAGACCATCAGTGCCATGGCAAGAAGGACACAGGGGGAATAACTGGAATCTCAGTAGAAGGAAAACCGGAGAGGGGGGAAACGGGGTGTCCTGATTTTGTCCCTAAACCTCCTGATTTTCCCCCTAAACCCTCCCCTTTCCCACACTTTTTGCCCTGTCTGGAGTTGACAAGAGATTTTGTCCCCAAACCTCCTGATTTTCTCTCTTTACCTCCTGATTTTCCCCTTTATCCCTTCCTTTTCTCACATTTTTTCACCTGCCTGGAGTTGACAAGAGACATTTTGTCTCTAAATCTCCTGATTTTCTCTCTTAACCTCCTGATTTTCCCCTTTATCCCTTCCCACATTTTTTTCCCCTGCCTGGAGTTGACAAGTGACATTTTGTCTCTAAACCCCCTGATTTTCTCTCTTAACCTCCTGATTTTCCCCCTAAACCCTCCCCTTTCTCACTTTTTTTCACCTGCCTGGAGTTGACAAGTGACATTTTGTCTCTAAATGACATGATTTTCCCCTTTATCCTTCCCTTTTCCTCATTTTTTCCCCTGCCTGGAGCTGACAAGAGACATTTTGTCTCTAAATGTCCTGATTATGTCCCTAAACCTCCTGATTTTCCCCCTAAACCCTCCCTTTTCCACATTTTTTCAACTGCCTGGAGTTGAAAAGAGACATTTTGTCTCTAAACCTCCTGATTTTGTATCCAAACCTCCTGATTTTCCCCCTAAACCCTCCATTTCCCACATTTTTTCCCCTGCCTGGAGCTGACAGAGACATTTTGTCTCTAAACCTCCTGATTTGTCCCTAAACCTCCTGATTTTCCCTCTAAACCTTTCCTTTCCCAAATTTTTCCACCTGCATAATATTGACAAGAGACATTTTTTCACTAAACTTCCTGATTTTTCCCCTAAATCTTCCCTTTTTCCCATTTTTTCCCCTGCCTGGAGTTGACAAGAGACATTTTGTCTCCAAACCTCCTGATTTTCCCCCTAAACCCTCCCTTTCCCACATTTTTTCCTCTGCCTGGAGTTCACAAGAGACATTTCATCCCTAAAACTCCTGATTTTGTCCCCAAACCTCCTGATTTTCCCCTTTATCCCTCCCCTTTTCCCACATTTTTTCACCTCCCTGGAGTTGACAAGTGACATTTTGTCTCTAAACCTCCTGATTTTTTCCCTAAACCTCCTGATTTTCCCCCTTAATCCTCCTCTTCCCAAATTTTTTCACCTTCATGGAGTTCACAAGAGACATTTTGTCCCTAAACTTCCTGATTTTGTCCCCAAACCTCCCGATTTTCCCCTTTATCCCTCCCCTTTTCCCACATTTTTTCACCTCCCTGGAGTTGACAAGTGACATTTTTTCTCCAAACCTCCTGATTTCGTCTCCAAACCTCCCGATTTTCCCCTTTATCCCTCCCTTTCCCACATTTTCCCCCCATTCCCTACTCACCCTGTCTCCTGTGTCTCCCTTCAGCCCGGGCTGACCGGGAATCCCAAATCCGGGACTTCCCTGTGGAAAAAAAAATCCAAGGGATTTGTCATTTTTGGAGCTTCAACACATGAAGGATGGGCTGGAAAATTCCAGTTTTTCCACCTTTTCCCCTTTGTCTCCCGGGATTCCTCGCTCTCCTCCTGCTCCTGCTGCTCCAGGATCTCCCTGGGAATGAAAATATTCCATCAGAAACGAGGGCTGGAGAAGAAATTCAATATTAACGGAGAATAAATTAATGAAATGACGATAATGTAAAATAATAGATAATAATTGTAAAGTAAAGTAATAAAATAATAATGATAATTATAATAATTAAAAATAACTATATAGATTATAGAATATAAATTATATAATAGAGATCTTAATATTTATTTTAGAATTAGATATAATTTAATAATTACATTATTACATAATGTAGATTATAAAGATATGATTATATATTTAATTTAGAATTACATATAATTATATAATTATATCATTACATATTATATAATATAAATTATCAATAGACAAATATATATTTATTTTAGAATTTTATATATTATATATTCTCAATATAATATTAATTATAATAATACAATTATATTATTATATTATTGTTTTATATTATATTCTTTATAATATATTTATATTATATTACTTATATTATTTATATAAATATTTATATTAATATTTATATTATATACTTATACACTATTATTATATTATATATTTATAGCACATTATTAAAATACTATAATTATAATATTAATTACAACAATAATCTATAATTATAATATATATTATATATTATATAATTATATATAATCATGGTATATATAATATACCATATAATTATATAATTCTATTATGTAATTTTATTATATAATAATGTTATTAATGTAAATTGATATATTATTAAATTATTTATATAATAGATATTTTTATATATATTTATACATTTTTATATATATTTATATATATTTATATATATAATATATATATATTATATATATTTTTTGCATGTTATAATTTTATATTTTTGTATATAATAATTTTATAATTATAATTCCAGTTATAATTTTTCCCTGGGAAAAGAGCACGTGGAAATCCCAAATTTCCCCACAGATCAGGGCTGGAAAAACAACCCCAGGCCCAAAATGTGATTAAAAGCCAGAACCCCCCCCCCAGGATCAGATTATTCCTGCTTTTCCAACCTCTCTTTTCCATCAATCCCAAGAAAAATAGGATTAAAAAACCCCCCATGGTGCAACAGTCCCTTTTCCAGGTGCAGATCCCGACGTTTCCAGCAGTTCCAATTCCTGGATAACGAACTCACCTTGGCACCTTTCTTGCCTGGAGGTCCCAAAACCTGAGGAGGAGGAGAATTCCCAGATTTTCTTTGGGATTAAAAAAAAAAAAAGGATCTCCCACGTTACGTTTTTCCGTGTTTTGTTTTCCCGAGCAAAGGAATCTCAGCCTCATTATGGGATAGGAAACCCAGAAAGGGTTCCATGAGCCCCTAGAATTCCCAAAATTTGGGATTTACTAGGAGGTAAATCCCAAATCCAGAGAAGCTCAGGAAGAATCCCCCATGGAACCGCCGGAGGTTTTGGCTCCGGGGATCGACGACCCCTCCCAGGGAAGAGCTTTTGGTGACGTTCCCAGAGCTTCCCACTGGGAATTCCTGCTCCTCCAAACATCCTCCTGCTTTTCCTTCCCGGGGGGAAGTGGGATTTGGGAAGGAGAAGGGTGGGATTTGGGAAGGAGAAGGGTCACTGACCCCAGGGAAAGTGGGATTTGGGAAGGAGAAGGGTCACATTCCAGGAGGAAGAGTAGGAAATCTGGAAGCAGGAATTGTCCCTCTACACCCACCAGAGGACATTCCAAGGCACCAACCCCTTCCCAAACATCCCTGTGGGAATTCTTCATGGAAGAACCACCTCTCTTGCTCTGGGTGATGATCCCTGTGGATCCCACTCAGAATATCCTGGGATTTTGTGAAATCTGCTGCCTGGTTTGCTGTCCCACCTTCTCTCCTTCCTCTGGATTTATCCTGGGATTTCCCTGACCTCCTGACCCCAGGGGAGGTGGGATTTGGGAAGGAGAAGGGTCACATTCCAGGAGGAAGAGCAGGAAATCTGGAAGCAGGAATTGTCCCTCTACACCCACCAGAGGACATTCCAAGTCAGCAACCCCTTCCCAAACATCCCTGTGGGAATCCTTCTGGGAAGAACCCAGACACACCCAGACCTTCCCACAGGGAATTCCTTTTCCTCCAAAAACATCCTCCAGGACACTGGAGGTGCTCCCAGTCCCTGAGGGTGGTCCCATTCCCGGATGGAAGTCCAGTTGGAATTGGGTGGGACACCCCGAGGGTTTTCCAGCAGGATCCAGAGCAGCTCCAGGAGCAGCTGGATCAGAGGGACAGGCCTGGAGCACAAGGAAAACATTCCCTTCTCCCATTTTTTGTTACTTGGAAAAAAAAAGACCAACATTGAATGATCTCCAACAACTTTGTCATCCAAATCCGGTCTTTTCTTTCCCTCGTGTGGGAATTTCTCCCCCTTTTTTTGCCTCAGGGCTGGAAAACCTGGAAAAAAACCCCACTGGGTAATAAATATTCCCTGGAAAGAAATCTGGGGAGAACTCAGAGTTGGGAGAAGAGATTCCATCGTCTCCTCGTCCTGCTCCCATTCCCTGGGTTATCCGTGGGAAAAAAGGGGAATTTAAAGTTTCCCAGTGTTTTTTTTTCCTTATTAACAACTGGATGACTTTCCCAACAACCCAAAAAAAGGGGGATTTTGCTCTGTAGGATTTTCCAGGGAAGGTTTCATATCCTTACTTTTCCCTCATGGTGACAAAGCTCCTTTGAGGAGCAGCTGGGAATACCAAAAAAAAAAGGAATGGGAATAAAATAAAGGTTGGGAATATGAGGATTGGAGCGAGGGTGTCGGCTGGAAGGTCATGGAAAAGGTTATTCCTGAAATTCTGGGATGCATCCCTCCCGCTCCCTGGGGGCGACTCAAGGTCCGGGATCCCGCTCATAGTTACCCCCACAGCCGGAGCACCTGGAATTCCCGGGTTTCCCTGCAAGGAAAAAGGACATCAGAGGAGTGTGGGGTGACAGAAACTTCCTTCTCCTTGTTTTTCCCACCCCGTCCTTCCCTTAAAACCGCTCCCAACTCATCCGGGAAGCGCGAGGCGGATCGGAGGAGACGCCGAGCTCGAGGACGTTCCCGGTGGTTTCACCCACCAAGCTGAGCTTCCAAGAGCTGGGATCGAGCTGGGAAAAATCGGGATACCCCCAGCTGAGCTGCTCCCTCTTCCTGTCTCACTCACTTGCTCTCCCTTCTGCCCCGGAGCTCCTGGAATTCCCTGGAAGACACCAAAATTCCCGCCGGATTCAAGAGAGATTCCACATTTTCAGTCCCTGTTTTTGGGAGATCTTCCCAGGAAGAGGGAGAGGAGGAGGAGGAAGCTCTTCAGCCCCCAGTTTTCCCACTAATTCCAAGATA